ATCCTGTTCCAACCATAGAAAATAGCTTTCGCATGGTGAAAATATGCAAATAACATACCAAACAAAAAAAAGGGGGGGGGAGAGAGTACAAGTTTAGAATCTCACAACTCAATCTAAGGCAAAAAGAAATTACAGCAGAGACAATAATACACACAAAGAAAAGCCTATGAAAGTTCTGAGAGAGCAGCAGAGCGCTTGCTGACAGCTCTAAACGAAAATGAAGGTCGTCTAGCATGGCACCAAATCTGCTTCTAAAATCTTGATGACTTTTCATAGGATATCTGACTACCAAATAGAAAATTCAGTTAAATGCCAAAAACAATAAAAGTGATGCTCTCGGAAAAAAAAAAAATAGAAAAAAAAAAGTGGTATTTTCCACTGCCACAAAATCAGGACAAGAGTGCACACTCACACTCCCACCTGCCCCTCGGACCCGCCTTCACACTTCTACCTTCCCCTGCACATCAGTAGGAAGTCATTTTTTTTTTTTTTCACAAAACGTAGTGAAAGACAAGTATTAAAAACTCCATAAATCATAAGCTAAATGTGTAACTTAATGACTTTCAGTGTTCATACACCTCTGCAGCTATCGAGAAAGAGAATATTGGGACCAGCAGTTAGCGTAATGGCTATGTCACTGGACTCCCACATAGTTGACCACAGTTCGAGTCCCAGACCTGGTGGCTTCAACTCACGCCGTGCGCAGGTGTGTGCGTGCCCAAGATCCCGAGAGGAGAATGGAGGAGAAGGGATTGCAGCATGACCATCCCCCCTGGGGGGTGATTTCTTGCTTACTATCTCTCTGTCTCTCTCTGTCTAGTAAGTGCACACGCCCTATAGCGAAAACCTCTCCAAAAAAAAAAAAAGAAAGAGAATATTTAGGATCCTCAGAATGTCCTGCTGCATCCCTTTTAGTGATAAACAACTCAAAAGTAAACCACACTCTTCAATATGTATAACTATTATATGTAAATTAGTAACTACCATAAAAAGGGTAACCACAATTCTCATATTTTTACATAAATTTTACTTCTACAACATAAATGAAATCAAACATTTACTGTAGTAAATGGCTTCTTCTACACATTACTATGCTTATTAAATTAATTCATATTGCTGCATGTGATTGTATTTTGTTTTTT